TATTAAATTATTTAAGTTATTAATAATAATTTATTATTATAGTATAAGATATTTCTTTAAATCAAATGGATTGATTACTTATTAAATAAAAAAAAACAGTAATAAAAATTAGAAGAGAGATAAAATTTTGAGATATAGGAAATATAATAAAAATAGTGTTATAGGAATAAATTTTTTATATAATTTTTTACGTTATTAAATAAGTTAATGTATTTAATATTATGAGTATTACATAATTAAAAAAATTAATAATTTAAATAATATATCAAATTATATAAAAAATGATATAAAATAATTATTTTAAAATCATTTTCTATAATCAAATTGTGCACGAGCGGAGATCGGTGGAATTGGGGGAAAAAAATTGAGAAGAATCAGGAATATCCCGGATGGGTAGCAGATGTAGATATCCCCACCTAATCGTCCTTTTTTTTTTAAAGATGATGATATTTAGTAGCCTGCACTCAAAGAGAATGGACAAATGAGCCGAGTTTAGTGGACCCCACGCATTATTGCCTTCTTTATTTTTATAAGGGTTTTTTTATAAACACTTTATAATTATTTTTTTTTAAACAAGTTGTGAAGGGACAGGCTCGAAATTCACCTATAAAGGAGGAAGAATGCACTTTAAATTGGTAGGTTGTCAATTGGTTTAAAGCTTGAAATCCACCCATGAAGGAAGGGGGGGGGGGAATGCATTTTAAATTGGTAGATTAGGTTCGAAGGGTCAAGTGCAAACACTTTATAGTATTGATTATTATTAAAAAATAAAATTTAATATTTATTTTTTTTAACATGAAAAATTTTATAAATGAAGAATTTTTTAAGTATTGAAAAGAGTCCAATTCTAATCTATTCAATCTAAATATTAAGTTTTAAAGACAGGCTATTAAATTTGAAGGTTTAATTTAAATTTTTAATATTTATTTAATTAAAATAATATATATAATATTAATAATAAAATTAATATTAATTTTTATTATTTTTATATTAATTAATATAAAAAATAATTAATTATATTATTAATTTATATTCTTAATATACAAATCAAATAAATCTTTTTATAAATAGATTCTTTTGTTAGTGAGACTAAGGCACGGTATAAAAAATTTCAAGTTTCAACTTAAGTAACAGTATAGGATTATAAGAATGCTCATCTCATAAAAAAAGTTAAAATAGGGTTAATTAATTAATTGGCCAGAGACTTCATTTACTTTTCTCCAGATTCCCTGAAAATGGAGAACTCGTGGATTCTGAATCATTCTGACCCTCGTGCTCTTCCCTTTCCCACCACTATCCACGTCATCCTCATTAATTGGGTAAAATTTTAGTTTTAGCCCCTCACCTTATCAACTTTAAAATTTTTAATCTCTTATCTTATATTATGATATTTTTAAATCTTTACTTTACTAAATTTGTTGATTTTAACCCCTTACTTATTAAAATTAAAAAAATAACCCTTATTTTGTAACCTTTTTTTAGCTTTATTAACTGATTATTAACTTTATTATCTAATTATTAGTTGACTGTTAGTTGATAAAAAAAAAATTTTCAGCTAACAAAATTAACAGAATTAACTTATAATATTTTGTTAATTCTATTAATTGATTATTAATTGACTGTTAATCGATAAAAATCTATTTTTAACTAACAGAATTAACAGTTAGTATAAAATGAGAGTTATTTTCTTCATATTTTAATAGATGAAGAGTTAAAATCTACAAATCTAATAAGATAAGAGTTAAAAGTGTTATAATATAAGGTAAAAAGTTAAAATTTTTAAACTTGACAAGATAAAGGGTTAAAACTTTTAAATTTGATAAAATAAAAGGTTAAAATATTTAAATTTAATAAAATAAAGGGCTAAAACCAAATTTTTACCAATGAATTGAGTGGTAGTATTCACAACATTTTTGTTTCCTTCTATATTGTGTCACTGCCACATGCATCATTGCCACACCCATATCCATACGCATCTTTAGAAACACAACACCACCTCTCCTCTATCACCATCCTCTTCGCCACTCCTACTACCACCACCAGAACCACCACCACCAGAACCACCACCAATTACCAAACCATGGAACCCAGAACCTCTCTTCGCTTTTTCTTCCTCTTCCTAGCCATAGCCTTCCTCTTTCTTTTCACCTGGACCCATCTTCCCTCGACTCCCCCACCCGATGTCACCGCCCTCCTAGACTGTGCCACCAACTCCCCATCTCCCTGGTGCATCCGTCTTCAATCCAATAAACCACTACGCGTCTCCGATACCCCCAATCACCCTCTCGACCCTCTCACCGTCAAAGAAATCAACACGGTCCGGTCCATCCTCTCCTCTCACGCCCTCTTCAACTCCGCCAAATCTTACGCCTTCCACTCCATCGTTCTGGAAGAGCCCGACAAACAACAAGTCCTCCGGTGGACAAAGGGCGACCCTCTTCTACCCAGACTTGCCTCTATTGTCGCTCGTGTCGATGGACACTCATACCTCCTCACTGTCAATCTGGAAACCACTCAAGTCACGGTTCACGACACCGTTCCTCTCGCCGGTTATCCCACCATGACGGTGGAGGACATGACTTCCTCCATCTGGGCTCCTCTGTCCAACGCCCAGTTCAATCGTACCATCACCGATCGTGGCGTTGATTTGGCTGACTTGGCATGCTTGCCGATTTCGTTGGGATGGTTTGGGAAGAAAGAGGAGAGCAGGAGATTAATTAAGGTACAGTGCTACTCCATGAAAGACACTGCAAACTTCTACATGAGGCCAATCGAAGGTTTGACCGTCATCCTCGACATGGACACCAAAGAGGTGGTGGAAATTTCGGACCATGGTCGGAATATCCCCATCCCCAAAGCAGACAACACCGACTACAGGTACTCGGCGCAGCAGCTCCGGCAGCAGCAACTGAACTTGGTAAACCCAATATCCATTGAACAGCCGAAAGGTCCAAGCTTTGTGGTTGAAGATGAGCACATGGTAAAGTGGGCGAACTGGGAATTCCACCTGAAGGCAGACCCGAGAGCAGGGGTGATCATTTCTCAAGCGAGGGTGAGGGATTCAGATACAGGGGAGATGAGGAACGTCATGTACAAAGGGTTCACGTCGGAGCTGTTTGTGCCTTACATGGACCCAACTGACGCCTGGTATTTCAAGACGTACATGGATGCCGGTGAGTACGGGTTTGGATTGCAGGCTATGCCGCTTGACCCGCTTAACGATTGCCCCAGGAATGCGTACTATATGGACGGCGTGTTTCCGGCAGCCGATGGCAAACCTTACGTCCGCTCCAACATGATTTGTGTGTATGAGAGTTATTCCGGTGATATTGGGTGGAGGCATTCTGAGAGTCCGATCACCGGCATGGAGGTAATTAAGTCCACCGGATCTAATTAGAATTCTCAATCCCAACGATTTGCCAATTAACATGCTGATGATGGAATGGAAATTAGTAATTAATTCAACTTCTTTCATTTTTTCATTTATGGGTTTTTTTTTTTTTTTTCTTCAAACAGATTAGGGAGGTGAGGCCGAAGGTGACGTTAGTGGTGAGAATGGCTGCATCGGTGGCTAACTATGACTACATTGTTGATTGGGAGTTTCAGACAGATGGGCTAATTAGAGTTAAGGTAGTACTAAAACTCTCTTGTTTTAAAGATAATTTTCATTATTTAGTCTTTTTTTTTTAAAAAAAAATTCTTAAATTAAGAATTTAAAAATAATGTTTATTATATTTATTTAATAATATTTTAAAATAAAAAATAAAAATTTATAATTAAATAAATAATTAAAATAAATGAATAAATATTAAAATAAAAAATAACAACTGTTTTAAAATGAAGTAGTAATTAATAACTTTACTGTATTTGGTCTTAAAATAGACAAATCTTAATTTTACTATGACTATATTACATGAATCTATCTGTTCCACAATTTCAAAATCAGGTTGGACTTAGCGGCATTTTGATGGTGAAAGGGAGTGAGTATGACCATATGAGACAGGTGCCTAAGCACGAAAATCTCTACGGCACGCTTCTATCTGAAAATGTGATCGGAGTCATCCACGACCATTACGTTACCTTCTACCTTGACATGGACATAGACGGCTCTGATAATTCCTTTGTCAAAGTTGATATCAAGAAGCAGGAAACCTCTCCTGGGGAATCACCTAGAAGAAGCTACCTCAAAGCTGTTAGAAATGTGGCCAAGACTGAGAAAGATGCACGGATTCAGCTAAAGCTCTACGATCCCTCTGAGTTCCATGTTGTCAACCCTGCCAAAAAGACACGGGTCGGAAATCCTGTAGGGTACAAAGTGGTTCCGGCTGCCACTGCTGCTAGCTTGCTTGACCATGATGATCCACCACAGAAGAGAGGTGCATTCACCAACAACCAGATATGGGTTACACCATACAACCAGAGCGAGCAGTGGGCTGGAGGCTTGTTTGTGTACCAGAGCCAGGGTGATGACACTCTTGCTGTGTGGTCCGAAAGGTAAACGTAAAAACAAACTTACATCTACATTTTCATCACAAAATTAATTGATGATGATGAGTGCATTTGGATTTTTTGCAGAGATCGACCAATCGAGAACAAAGACATTGTAGTGTGGTATACACTAGGCTTCCACCACATCCCATGTCAAGAGGATTTTCCCATCATGCCGACTGTGTCCTCAAGTTTTGATCTGAAGCCAGTTAATTTCTTTGAGAGCAACCCCATCCTTCGAGTTCCACCTAATCTTGAGAAGGATCTGCCAGTTTGCAAGGCAGCTGTTTCTGCATGAAACACTCATTCTGCGCTTCCTTCAGAATCTTCAAGGATCATTACCCATGTTACAACTGTCAAGAACAAGAACAGAGATGAAAGCTAGCACCTCTCACTGTATATGTGTGCTATAAGCAAATGTAAGCTTGAATATGGTGCAAATCCATTTGGCTATAATTGGTCTGTATGATAATCAGTCAAATGAAATAAACAATTGAAACATTTTAGAGTTTATGCACAATAATTGTTTATTGGACAAAAGCAACAAAGGTAACAATGACACTCTTTTAACATTTGATTTTATATCCATAAAACTGATTATCAATCTCTCTCCTCATATACATGAACATGATACAGGATCTATTCACCATTCACACATCATAAAAATAAACCCAAGTTGTGGAACACACACCAACTGATACAAAAGTCAAAACCTTACTATTGCACTTGTATACTAAAACTAATTAGATCAATGCTAATCAAAATCAATGAGAACAAACTAATTCCTATATCCCTTTATCTTGTTATTTCCTTCCTCGAATTTTTTTTTTTTCTTTCCAAGAATCAAATTTGGCTAATTTGGCTAATTAGTCTAAGCTTCCATGAAATCCTGTAGAGTAAAATGCCCTTCTAGTTGCTAATCACCATAAACAAATTATGGCACTCTTTTTCATTCTACCAGTAGTGTGCCTATTCCTATTCTGTCCATACATTACCTTAAGACTAGTACGAGTTTATGCAAGAGTAGAAGAGTCATCAACCATACATCACTTCACTTGCTGAAGAATAACCCATCAGTCGATGCAGGGGTGAACCCCCTCTTCTTGGCAGCTCCTCTATTTCAGAGGAAACTTTCTCTGAACCATGGTACATATTGGAAGAAGTTCCAACTGAGCTGTACTTCTCCATGGGATTCTTATATATGTTTCGAGGCTGATTCAAAACTGGCTCCTTCTCTTCTGTAGGTTTTGATGAACCGTATGAAATGTGTCTGACATGCTCTGCATTGCCCTGAAGCTCATGAGATGGTTCAAGGGAACCAGGATCTGTGGAGCAGAGCCCATAATCATCAGAGTAGGATACAGGATCTGGACGCAAGCATCCTCTGTCAAGAGATGTGGATACCAAACCTTTATTACCAACATTGCTGTAGCTATCAGCCTCACTTGGTGGAGGCACCACAAGAACTGGTTCATAGGGAACAATATGGATTCTGTCTTTAAGTGAAAACTTCAGCACCTTAGAGCATGAACCACATCTTAGCTGATGGAAAGCCCTTTTGAAGAGGAGGAAATCTGCAGGTAGCTGCAATAGTTTCGAACAAGAATAACAGGTCACAAAAGGAGCTCCACCTGCTGTGGGCCGTATGTGTCGCTTAATTGAATAATGCTTCTCCCTTGAACACTTCTTCAATTCATGATCTCTATATCTCTTGTCAGAAGACTTTGTGTAAGGATTCCAAGTGGAAAAATCAGACTCTACATATCTCTGGGGACTTGCGGGACAAGAGCTGTAAGAACATTGACCAGCATGGTCCATACAACATTCTTGATTGGGATGAAATATGGATGGGTGAAATTGTGCTGAATACCGCCAGCCTTGAGGATGGCAACATGAACAGGAAGGATCACCTTGAAGCCTACTGTTGACTGCATCCCCTGAAAAAGGTATGCAAGAGAATTTACTCTGCTGACCCCAGGTGCTCTTCTGCCTTATTCTTCCAAGATATCCAGGACCAGAAATCTCTCTATCAGGTGCCTCAGAATCATAGTACCTAGGAAATTGGTTTTCCTTCCAAGGTACTTGAGCAGAAGCCCTTCCATTTGGCTCTCCTTTCAGATGGCATGCTTTGTTAAGTTGATCCTGCAGTTCAGAAACCATTCTCAACAGTTTCATCCTTTCTTGCTCAGTGTACTTAGGCTTATCAAGTGGATGAAAGGTTGATTTGCGAGGCAACTCATCATGCAACTGACTTGAAGTGCTTGCACTTTCATACCCAGCAAGGTAAGCCCTATGAGAGAGTGGAGCTTCAGATAGATAGTCATAACTCTCTAATCTTTTCCAGTTCCTAACTAAATGGCCATCTGTTATATGTTCTGAAGGCTCATTTTGATCCCATGTTCGGTATTTTTGGGAACAGAGTTTTATATTAGACAACCCTGATGACAAATTTCCAATGGAGTTGCTACTCATACCATTCACTGATAGCCTGCGCCTTCTGGCCCTTTCCCCTGGAACAAAATACTTTGCAGCCTGATAAGTATTTTCAAATGATTGTGCAGGCCGATCAAGGTAGTTATCATCCATTCCATCATATGACGAGATACTGCCATCATAGGCAAGAGAGTTTCTGCCAGTAGCAGACTTAGAAAAATAATCAAGTCTACCACTAAGTTCGGAACTGGGGGTGAAAAAATCTGCAGTTTCAATTGTATCTGCTGACATCGCATGGGAAAACCCATGGTGGTCACTTTTCTGAGGCTGATCAAGCTGCTCGTTAGGAGAAGCAACTAGAGCACCTGATGAAATTCTCTCCCCTGCTGATTTGAGCTTTAGAGTTGAGCTGACAGGGCCATGCTGGTCACTCTGAAGTTGCTCGAGCCTTTCATTATTGGAAGCATCAGGTAAAATGGTTTCCTTTGCAGTTCCAAAGGCATTAACCATTATATTACTTTCTGTTGCACCCAATGGCTTGTCAAAGCTTGATCTTCTGCTGTCAGAATCAACCTTGCTATCAAAATTTAGTTCACTTTTTCTGTCTGCTGGGTTTGATTTCTCACCATCTGTCACTATTTGTGAATAAGCTGCTGTTGATGACAAGAATTCTCTGCGACTAGCAACCTCCTCAGTGGATGAACAAGCTCCACTCAAAAGTCCAGACTGTCCAACATTGCAAGCTGAAGGTTCAGGCTTTTCAGTTCCATTCTCATTTCCTCCAGTTGATTCATGAAGCTGCTCAGTGATGCAAGGCACAGATGTTTGGATATTGACAAAGAGCTGTGGAGCATTGCAGTGCCCAGATATGTGTTCGTGGCTCCCACTTTGTTGATCCACAGATGGAACAAGTGAGTCAGGAGTTGAGGAGTTGGATTCATTATTTTCAGATGCAGGAACAAATCCATTAATCTGAGTAGCTCCTGGTGAAGCGGTTTTGGCACCAGTTTTTCGATTCTTGGCTACACACAACACAGGAAAAAATAGAAAGAAAATAGCAAATGAGTAAAATAAACAAACAATTAATTTGACATATATGAATGTTAAGCAATGTGGGAATTAAAGATGTTGTAACAAGGTAGAACGTAAACAACAGATGATTTAGTTGAATTAGATACCTAGAAGAACCGTTGAACATCCACCACACTTGTACACAGGAACATCAGCCACTTCAGGAAGAACCCGTCGACATTTGGGACATCTAACTAATCGCACTTTAGGAGTTGTTTCATCACTCGCCATAGCCTCCGAATTAATAAACCTAGGACTAGGATTGGGACTAGTAATAGGACCAGGACTATGATATATCATCAATTGCTAAATAGCAAGCAAGCAACTTCAACAATCACATTACTGCTGCAAAAGCATACGCACATGCACATAAGAATTTGAACAGAAAACAACAAATCTAATCAAAATGAGTTTGTATGTTGAGATTTAGAATCAAATCAGGAGCACAACAAAAGTCACCGATCCAAATTCATGAATGCACATAATTAAGGAAAGGCATAGATAGAAAAATAGAATAATGATGGGGGCAAAACAACAAAGACATACCCATATGCCATGGCTATAGCCTATAGCTAGATCCAAACCAAAGAGATGTGTAGAATTAGGAAAGAAATTAAATTTTGATTTTATAAAAGAGAATAGATGAAAAAAGAGAACCTGATTGGGAAAAGAGGAATTCTTGACGTGGGGACTAAGTTGACGACTGAAGCTTCTTCTTTTAAGCTCGGACATGGAAGAAGAAGAAGAGAGGAGGAGAGGGTCTCACTCGTCTCGCGTGTTTGAGAAGCCGCGGGTGCGACAGTCAAACCTCAGAAAAACAGAACAGATAAAAGAAGAAGACAGAGAAGAGCGGTGTTTTGTTTACTTTCGTTATTTTGTTTTTGTGGGGATTGGAACTAGCAAACACGCGTCCCAGTCCGCGCTCAACCAATTTCAAAGGTAAAAAGAACGAACCCCGTCCGACATGTCTTCCTTTGCCAATTTTTGTCATTCCCACCTTCACCCTAACCATTTTTGTCATTTTTGTCATTTTTGGTCATGTTTTGACTTTTTACGCTATTTAATATGATTTAAAAAGCACTTGTTAAATTTTTTATACACTTTTTTTTTTAAGAAAGTGGTAAGTGTGAGATTTGAACTTTGAATCTACGAAAAACAGGAGGGACTGCACCTTCAAAATAACCCGAAATTCATTTGGTTCGCAAAGTCAGATGCTTTTATACACATTTTTATTAGATAAATTTTTAAAAAAATTTATTTTTAAATAAATTTTATAAAAATTTAAATGTGTGGTTTAAAATTTTATTTTTAAAGTAAATCACTTTTTAAACTTTTTCAAATACTCTCTTTAGTAGGAGTAGTCTTTACCAATTCAATTCTTTGTTTATTTAACATAATTTACTGATCCAATAAAGAGGGTTAACGTTAAAAAGTATAACAATTACTAATTTGTTTAACATTTTTAATTATAAAAATTATATTTTATAATTTAAATCACATAATACTTTTTTTTTAAATATAATATTATTTTTTAGTACTAATCCTTTTGTTGTGTTTGATCCTTTAGGAGAAAACTCTTTTCACACTTATTTTATCATTTACAATACTTCACCTCAAAACTTTATTTTAAAAAAATTAAATTCTTTCTATTAAAATTAATAAGTTATTAATAAACTTTTTCTTTTTTATTTTTTCTTCCGTTCAATTTTTTTAGGTTAGTATTAGTATTAAAAAATTTTGATGTTTTACAGTCTATCCTAAAACTTTTTTTCAAATAAAGAGCCCATTTTTCCATTAACCGTTACTACCATAAAACATGCAATTAACCTTTTTCGTCAAAAGAAAGTTGAGATTTTCACAAAATCAAAATCTAAGGGATTCCCCGTTGGAGCGGGCGGGGGACATAAATTATTGACAATGAAAAGTCATGGGTTTGACTTGAAGGTCGGCTATGCCAGCTGGAGCGTGCCAGGTGGCACCACCTCATCCACGCTACACCTACAAATTAGAAGTCATAAAGCCCACAACAACTTCCCATTCCACGGAGTCTCGACTCTCTAGAGTCTTCCCTTGTCCTTTTCAGTTTTCACCATCGACTTTCCGATACCAACAATAACTAAAAATTCAAAGGCCCAATTATATGGCAACTTATTTGTATAGGATAAGGGGTTAAAAGTAAGTTTTTATCGAATTGTATTGCCTCACAAAATTCCAATTCATTAAAAACGACTGTAATTCCTTTGGTTTTTTTTCTCAAATCATTAAATTGTATAGTGATATTTCTTTCGTTTTAAAATATTTTTTATTTT